GTGGTCTTTTTGAGACAGGGTCTCCCTGTAGCCCCAGTTGGCCTGGAACTCACTTTGTAGACCAGGCTGGCCTTGAACTCACAAAGATCTGCCCACCTCTGCCTTCAGAGTGCTGGGATTAAAGACATGCAACACCATGCCTGGCTTTTCTTTCTTTTTAAGACAGTTTCATCTATCCTAGGCTGACCTCCAATTCACTATGTAGCCAAAGATGATCTTGAACTTCTGATTCTCCTGCCTCTTTCTCCCAAGTGCTGAGATTATAGATATAGACCACCTCACCTGGCTTATGTTGTGCCAAGGATCAAAGCCAGGACATTTTTTTTTTTTTTTTTGAGACAGGGTCTCCCTGTAGCCCCAGCTGGCCTGGATTCACTATGGAGACCAGGCTGGCTTTGAACTCATAGATATCTGCCTGCTTTTGCCTCCCGAGTGCTGGGATTAAAGGTGTGTGCCACCACGCCCGGCTTAAACCCAGGACTTTTTATAGGCTAGACAAGCATACTACCGACTAAGATGCATCCCCAGCAACCAGCTGGGTTTTAGAGTCCTCCATGTGGCAGGCTACCTATATGTACATGCCAGGGAGTAAATGGACAGGGGCCTGGCTACTCCTAGGTCTGTAGGCATCAGCACAGGATAAGGCTGGACGTGGTCCCATGCCTGTCACAATGTCCTCCACCAAGTGGCATTCCTCTTCAGGCAGATCTAAGTGTCCAGAGAAACATCTGTGAACACTTAAATCAACTTAAAAGGGAAAAAGCTTAGTAAGGGTTTCTGTGTCCAGTGTCTGACCAAGACTGTGGAAAGGATTCCCCTGGTGGGATTCCAAGGTATTACACCTCTCCAGAACAGATCAGATGTGTCACCTCATTGGGAGCTTTGGTGTGATTTTACTCGTTATTTTAGGCAATACCTGGGCTATGAGACCCTGGCTCAAAAAAAGAAAAAAATTATCTTAGGCAATAAAGAAAATTGGGACAAGGTCTAGCTATGTAGCTCGTGCCGACCTCAAGCTTCACCACCCTTTTGCCTCAGCCTCTTGAGTTCTGGGATTACAGGGATGTACTTCTACACCTAAACTGACTAGGATAATTAGTTGGCTAAGATAACTGGTTGCTTTTGAAGAGGACCCAGGTTCAATTCCCAGCACTCACATGGTGGCTAGCAACTGTAACTCCAGTTCCAGAACTGGACGCCCTCTTCTGACCTCCATGGGCATTGCACAACACGGGTACACTCACATGCAATCAATATACACATTTTTTTAAAAAAGGTTATACACACACACTGAACTGAGTTGTTAACTGGGTACGATTTGTATATCTGAAAGGACTTTTGATTGCAGAACAAGGGAATGGACAATCTCCAGCACTGCAAACAAAAAGGAACAAAGAGGTGAATTTGAAAACCAGCTTACCAGCTTTTCACCATCATTGATGGTGCACAAATGAGAAAGGTGTGGTGCCCTCACAATCTGAACCCTCAGGAAAGCTCAGTGGAGAATATGAAGTTCAAGGCCAGCCTGAGTCACATAGTGAGACACCCCCTCCAATCCAAAAAAAAAAAAAAAAAAAAGGAACAGGGCCTCCCTCACACCTATAATCCTAGCACCAGAAGTCAGAATCAAGAGGATCACTTGCAAATTTGAGTTCAACCTACAGGACTTCTAGGCCAGTCAGAGCTATCTAACAAGACTTTTTCTCAAATCTATAAAAATTTAAAAGTTATAAATAAAGAGTCTGGGGGCTGGAGACATGGCTCGCAGTTAAGAGCACTGACTGCTCTTGCAGAGGATCCGGTTTTAATTCTCAGCACTACATAGCGGCTACGAACCATCCTTAACTCCAGTTCCAGGGGAATCCAAAGCCCTCTTCTGACCTCTGCGGCATTGCATGACATGGGTGCACTCACTCACATACATTCGGGCAATATACTCATATACATAAATAAAAATAATAAAATTTTTTTTAAAAGTCTGGAGAGATGGCTCAGCAGCTAAAAACATGTACTGTTCTTCCAGACTAACACAAGTTCGGTTCCCAGGACCCACACTGGGCAGCTCACAACTGTCTATAACTCCAGCTCCAGGGGATCTGACACCTTCTTCTGGCCTCCACACGCACTGTACTTAAACATACATATATCCATATCCACACACACAAAACTTTTTTTTGATGAGAGTCTTGCTGTGTCACCCTGGCTGGTCTGGAACTCACTAGGTAAACCAGGCTGGCCTCACACTCACAAAGAGCCATCTGCCTCTGCCTCCTGAGTACAGAGACTAAAGGCATGTGTTACCAGGTCCAATCAAAAAATTTAATGTTTTTAAAGTTACAAATGAGGAGAAAGGCAAGGCTGGCTCACAGTACTAATGTGGTTCCTGGTGTTCTCAGGAGTACATCCTATGGGCAGTACAGGTACATCCTATGGGCAATCTCAACTGTGGCTCCTGATGCATTCAGAGGACTGTACAATCATGCACTCCATCAGCTAGTCTTTCTGGTGGTGTGAGGATCTGTAAACAGTGACATGCAGTCAGTTTCTCTTTGTGTATGGTGCATGTACATGAAGTGCATATGCACATGTGTATACCAGAGGTTAGCTTTAGCTACCTTTTGAGATAAGGTCTCAACTGAACCTGGAGCTCAACAATTCAGCTAGGCTGGCTAACCTGTGAATTGCAGGGATCTGCCCATCTCTGCCTCCCCAGAGCTGGGATTACTCCACACCTGGCTTTTTTACATGGGTGCTGGGGACCCAAATTTGGGTCTTCATGGTGCATGCCTTTAATCCCAGCACTCAGGAGGCATATCTTTGTGAGTTCAAGGCCAGCGTAGTCTACATAGGAGTTCGAGGCCAGCTGGGACCACAAGGAGAACCTGTCTCAAAAAAGACCAAAAAACAAAGAAGGAATCAGAGCTGATCAAGGCACAAGCCAGGGAGCTTGGGCACCTTATAGTGTAGGGGAAGCTGGGAAGTAGGACATGCTGAGACCAAGGAGAATAAGTTAGGGGGCTCAAAAGTCAGTCAGAAGCATCCCAAATTGGAAAGAACCATTGTTAATACTTTAAAATGTAATTAAAATCATAAACCTTTGATTCTGATCTGAGTATCATGTATGGCCTGAGAATCTGCATTACCCCCTTGTTCCCCTGCTTCTCCTTTGAACTGGGCTTCCATGGACCCCTCCTTACTCTCTGGGAGTAAGACATCTAGTGTCTCACCCTTGACTCATGAGCCCCACCAAAGGGCATGAAAGCAAAGCTTGAGAAAGTCTCCAGAAAACAATTTATTTACTTACAACAGTATTTTAAGGGCACACATGCCCACTCTGATAAACCCACCCCCCAGAATCCCCAACCTACTAGTGTTCCACAAACCCTGCATCCTCTAGGACCCAGGGAGCTCCCAGGCTATCCCTGAGGGACAGCAACTACTCTTAATACCCATCATATGGGTTGATTTCAGAGAGCAATGGAAGGAACCATGGCCAGAAAAGAACCTTGACCTCCATACCCAGGTCCAACAGTACTATTTCCCCCAATACCAACTTGTCATGTGGAACACCCAGGGGCCCAAAGTGCAGAACAGAAAGAACCAAACACAGCAAGTTCAGGTAAAAATCCCATTTGTGTATCAACCTGTGTGCACTGTTGACCTCATAATATTGCTCAGCCTGTGCTCAGCCTGCGAAGGGGACTGGAACAAATACACCCCATTTGCTACGTGCTTTCTACTTTGGCAAAAGAAAAAAAAAAAAATAATAACGGGAGTTTCAGTAACATGAGTAAACTACAAAATAGCAGCAGCCTGTGCACACAGCTCTCAGGCTGCCCCAGTCAGCCTCACATCTACCTGCAACCACCTTTTCCATTAGCCAGGTTCCCCCACTAGAAAAGGATGCAAAAAGAGCTGGCCACAGTCAAAGCAGACTGTCACAGGTTCCCTTTGTCAGCCAGTCTGGCTTTTCCTTGGAGAAGGCAGAATGGCAGCAATCAGGGGAGGCACCTGCATGTACAGTGACAGGAAAGACAGAGAAGCCTCACTCAGGAGTGTGGCGCTCTGCAACGCCTGGGAAGGAAGCCATAGCACTGGAGGGCCTTGTCAGTGATAGGCAGGCAGTTCAGCCCAAGTGGCCCAAGATACCTCCAGAGGCAGCTGATGAGGGTGAGAATCTCTTGGGAAGGCACACCTGGACTTAGAGACTTAGAATTGGGTGCCAGTTCTGTTCCTGTGGGCTGGGAAAGGGGACCAAGGAGAGAAGTTCCAAGCAGGCTCAGCCAGCTGGCAGTGGTAGCCAAAACCTCAGTCCTGGAACGATTAAGGAGGGTCATCATCTATAAAGGCCCCAGGTCAGTGTTTGTGGCACTGGACATCTCCAGCTCACACAGATCCACAGGAACCTACTCAGGAATGTCACATAACCGGACTTCCCATCTGCAGAGGTGGAGAGAGGGGCTCCCAGGAGCTGCCTGGCAAACAAGTGGCTCTGATCCCCCACAGGCCACAGCAAGCAGCAGGTCCGCAGTCAATGGAATCTGAAGATCCCACGGCACTAGGCTGAAGTCCACACATCTGTAGCCAAACTGTGTCAATTCCACAGAGGCAAAGGACAAAGAAGAGCTTGACATCTCCCAGACGTGACCCAGAGTCACAGAAGTCACCACACATTTGTGCAAACTAGAACACAGACCCACTGCCCAACCTAAGGATCGGTTCTAAGATGCCCAGCCTGGCAAGTTAGGAGGAGCCAAGGTAGCCTGCAGGATCAGGACAAGTGTGGAGGTGGAGGAGCAGCCTCAGGGCAGGGAAGGTACCTGCCGAGAGCTCTCTAATTCCTCAGGGCAGCCAACCTGGAAACAAACAACAGGATTCTGGTAAGAAAGGCAATGGGCAGAGGACATCTGAAATGCTGTGTCCATGTGCCAGATGACAGCCCAGAGTCAACCCTCCTACCCCTTAGTCTCAGGTTTTCAAGGTTGTCCTGGGATAAAGGGTGAAAGATGCCAGAGACAGCCACATAATGTGCCATTTTCAGGAAAAGCAATGAATCCCCTTTTTAAGTGAGCTGTATGTTAACTGGTTTACACTTCTGGCACCAACAGTTGGCTACCTGGGACTGCAACATTCAAATAAAACAGACCCTGTATCAGACACAGGTCTTCCTTCTGCCCTCCCCAACAGCCACACCAAGTAGGATGGGCCTTTTCATGGTCTAGCCCCAGCCCACACTGTTCTTAGGGCCTCCAATCTGCACCTGAGGCACCACAGCAAAGCAAGGGTGATGACATTCATCTGGATAAGATCTTACCTCCGAGACAGCTGGTCTTCCTGGCTGCGCACAGAGCTTTCACCCACAGCTGAGGCACCCTCTGGAAGTTGGCTAAGCTGGTCTAGGACTTCCAGACCATTTTCCTCAGCAATCTGCACAATGAGGCTATCGACCTGCTCCTGAGGTGTGGTCAGCGTGGTAGCCGAGCTCATGGAATCTTCCATCACCTAGGGAGAGGTGCATTCTGGGCAGTATGGTCCAGAGTCCCTCCACAGCCTCATGAAGCTCACTGTTGTTGTTTTTGTTGTTGTTGTTTGTGTTGCACATTTGTTCTCATGTGAAGGCCAGAGGTCAATGTCAAGTGTCTATTGCTCGCTACAAGGTCTCTCACTAAACACAGAGTTCACTTTTTCAGCTAGGCTGGCTGGCCTGCCCTGGGAGCTGTCTCTGACCTTCAGCACTAAGACCGCCATACCCATCTTTTACATCCTGCCTCACACCCACCCTTGTCCCATCCCTGGGTCCACCTACTTCAGAGACTTTTTTCACATCCTGTGTGCTTGTCTATCATCTGGGCCTCCACTGAGAAGGATGGTATCCCACCTCCTCGCTCCAGGTCCTACAGAGACCCAGCTCAGTGCTTTCTCAGTGATATGAGGGAGCTATGGGAGCTGCAAGACACCCTGATACACTGTCCAGTCGTACTGCAATGGTCACCTACCGATGTGTGTACATCCAGGTTCTGCACCTGCTGTTCAAACCTATCCATCACTGCAGACACCTTCTGCAGATCCATGGCACTCAAGGCCTTGTCCAGAGCTTTGGTCACCTGTGCCATGTTCTTGGTCACCTAGAATAGGAGAGGATTGGGGACAGGAACAGAGTTAAAGGTAGGCAAGAGCTGCCAACCAGGAAAAGTCACCCAGACTTTCTGCTGGGAACCCAGGGACTCAGCACATAGTCACTTGAGTGCTGTTGATGACACAGTAAAGGTCTAGGCCTGTGTAGATTTTTTTTTTTTTTTTTTTTTTTTTAAGTCTTTTTGAGACAGGGTCTCCCTGTAGCCCCAGCTGTCCTGGAACTCACTATGTAGACCAGGCTGGCCTTGAACTCATAGAGATCCACCTGCCTCTGCCAGGATCCCATGCCTGGCCCATAGATCTCTTTTAAAGGAGATTCTCCCATGGATCCAAGGGTTCTGATGTAACTTCCAGAATATGTGTGTGTAGCAGAAATGCCACAGTAATATGGTACCTGAACAAAGAAAGCCTGATCCTTGAATGAAGCTGGGCGTGGTGGCGCACTCCTTTAATCCCAGCACTTGGGAGGCAGAGGCAGGCAGATCTTTGTGAGTTCGAGGCCAGCCCGGTCTACATAGTGAGTTCCAGGACATCTGGGGCTACAAGACTGTCTCAAAAAAGACAAAAAAAAAAAACCAAGAATGAGCCTAATCTGCTCTCAGAACTTGTTCCTTTTGAGTTCGCCCTGAACTGTTCTTCTAACCAAGGGCGTACTCTCTATTTATTTAAACAGTACAACCAGCATGAGGGGAGAGATGGGAATTTGTCTTATCAGGAAAGGATTTTCTCTTTCTGATCCCTACTGACTCAAAACAGCATACAGAACCACAAAAGATGCTATCAGTCTAATCCATCTGTTATTTGCAACATAAACTGGGTATAATTTGTTGCTTCCAACAATATTTGCTGATATTTTTATAACACACACACAATTCTAGGTCAGGAAGCAAGAAACAGTCATGAGGGATTAAAGTTAAATTTAGCTTACTACAGGAGCCCAAGGCTTAGTAAATTGTTTACATTATAAACAAGCTGACGTAGTGTCAAATGATCTCAAAACCTAAGATTAACTTTAGTTACAAGGCTACATAAGATTCCCATTTGTAACAGGATTTCCTGAAGTCATTCCCATACATGTGGCCTCATGAGCTCTGCCTATTGTGGGACAAAAGGGACCCAGGCTTTCCTGAGCCCTTCCTGTGTCCAGTATATCCTACTGCCTAGGTTCTACTGGGGTCTTGTTTCCCTCTACTCTAGGGCTGCTCCAGTTCTAGCAACAATACTCCACTTCTGCATATGCTAACCACACAGCACCAGAAAGTCTGGCACTTACCCCCTTCATGGTAACAGCTGTCTGCACCTTGGAAGCCACTGCATCTACACGGGATGCCATGCGGAGCCAGTTCACTCCTTCATTCTTCTTTCGGATGGCATTTTCAGCATACACACGGGCACACTCCACATTTTTTTGCTGAAGGGCCTAAGATTCACAGGAAAGTGTTCATAGAAGAACTCTGTGATGTCTACAGACTGCCTGCCTGTTAGAAGCCTGGTACATACCTCTCCTGAGCATGGCTGGTCATTGGGGAGGGTAGAGGGTTTTCAGTTTTCCCTAGCTGTAATTCTCAGAAATGTGTGTGAGTTTTGTAAAAGTGCAACACCCAGGTCCCAAGCCGACTCTGGGATGAGTGTGGGTATCCAAAGACAGAGGGATGGCACAGAAAGCCTGCAGGGTTCTAGTCCCACCACATTCCTCCCAAACCACAACTACACAGGAACGCAGGGAGGAGAGCCAACAACAGCCGAAGGAATCAAAGATGGGAAAGGTGCAGAGCACTACTATTCAGACCCTGAGAAGCCTGGGCAGGGTATTTAATATCCACTGGATATTATTTGGCGCTATACTTTGCTATGAGACATTTAAGAGCTATTCACAATTTGGATGGAAATCTTCTCCAAGAGCAGTCACCCACTTTTTCTTCTGATCTGTCACCTTTAGGCAGAGGACTCCTAGGAAAAACCCCAGTGAGCCTCCACCTCTGCCCCACCCTATGGAGTTTCCTCCAGGTCAATGTCTCTACCCAGATTCTAAGACCCCAGGCAGCAGCTCTACAGGAAAGAAAGTAAGCTGAAAATTAAAACCTGGAGCAGGCACAGTTGGAAGCCCACATCCTGCAAATTCAGGAGGTTGGAAAGGAGCAAGAAGGAGCAAATGAAGGCCGTGTACTTGTCATTCTGCCTTGTGCCCGCTGTGCAGGAAGGGGGGAAACAAGGTATGACCCTTCCCTCATGCATGCTTGTCTCATGTATGAAAGACAGCAAATGCTTAATACTCAGAAATCAGTGAGCTCTAAATCACCATGTAGGAAGTGTCTTGCACAAATATAAAACATTAAAGCAACACAGGAAACCCCCCTCTTAACCCCCCCCAAAAAACAGGCATGGGGGAGCTAGAGAGATGGCTCAGCAGTTACAAGCACTGGCTGCTGTTGCAGAAGATCCAGGTTTGAATCCCAGCACCCACATGGTGTCTAGCAGCTATCCATAACTTCAGTTCCAGGGGATCTGATCTCTTCTGTCCTCCACAAGCACTGCATGACACAGGTGTACTTACACACATGTAGGCATAAAACTCATACACATAAAATAAAAACAAATAATTTGAAAAATTTTTTAAAAATACAAACAAACAACAACAAAAACCAGGCATGGTGGCTTACCTGTAATGCCAGCACTGCTGAGGCTGAGGTAGGAAGACTACCTCAAGTTTGAGTTTAACCAGGGCTAGACAGTTAGTTTCCAACCATCTTGGTATATAGATTATAGCCTACCTACACACACACACACACATTTTTTAAAAGAACTAATTAACTAACTAATGAGAGAACAGAAAGGAACCCAGACCAGAATAGATGGCATACCTTCTTCACTTTAGCCTGCTCAGCCTTAGAGTCCTTCTCTGCCTTCTTGGCTAGCTTTTCCAGCTGTTTTGCTGTGAACTGAACAGAAGCCATAACATTCTGAGCTGTACAAGCAGAAACCACCCTCCAGGCCCTGCTTTCCAACATCCCACCTCTGCTTATCCTTGGCCCAGTCCCATGTCAAGAAGGCACAAAGCTTCATGATGTAAGTCCTAATAGCCACCCTGGGGCTGTGGGTCTCAAACTGCTCAAAGAAGGGACACCCCTGATTTCTGAGGTCCTGTGTGCCAGGAGGCTATATCAGGTTTCTTAAAATGCCCCAACCCAAATCCTCCCCCAGACTGGAAGGCTAAGGGTACAAATCTCACTGACCCTGCTCCTACTTGTGAAGGACTTTCAACTCACAGAAAAGACCTAGGAAAACCATTTCAGGCTACCCAAGTAGTGACACATAGTCCTAAAAGTGTTATCAGTATAGAATCCTGTATAGTTTCTGAAAGCCTCACTTCTCTGCCAACAAGAGGAAATGATGTAAATATATGCATGACTCTTCTGGCAACATAATTCTGGGGCTAATAACCAGGCCTGGCTACCAGCAGACAAAGCCCAAACACTGCCCCCTTTAGGATATCAGCCCACAGCACCACCTACAGCCTGGGTATGACACAAAGTATACCAAGCCATGCTGTGCAGCTTGTGACCTCACTCCTGCCCAGACCCTGAGTCAGAGAGAAATAAAATAAAGCTAGCCCTGATGATTTCTTGAGAGGACATCTGAGGGAAAACTAGCAGAAAGATGCCCTGGACTGTTAAGTATTTAAAAATACCTCCTTTAAATACCATCAAGGCTAGAGTCACGCTTGGGTATTGGCTATTGCCTTAGTGTGCTAGAGTCCTCGAAGAGTAATTACTGACCTTATTCACTGGCTGTGGGCCTCGTGGCAGTCAGTCACCAGGTTAGTGACATGCATCAGGTTAACAGATTTGCCTATAGCCACCTGTTGGGGTTAGTGTGTTTTGACTTTAAGAATCCTCTTAGAGAAGTATAAGTTTCTCAGACTGCTGTTGATTGACCCAACTTCTTTAGTAACTTAAGATTTAGTTCAAAATATGTATTAGGTGCCTGATATCAGTGTTCTACTCCAATGAAAATTTACACTGCGGTAGGAGGCAGCTATGAAAAATGATACAGATATGAAAGTGGTTGCTTTCTCTCCCCAGTCATCCAGGTTACTTTGGGAAAGTTGGTATGAGGCATTACCACTTAAAGAGGAACCAGAGCTTCTGCCCAACTGTCAACCTTGATAAATTGTGGACACTGGTCAGTGAACGGACACAGGTAGATGCTACCAAAACCAAGACTGGCGTTGCCCTTGTCACTGATGTGGTGCGATTGGGCTACTACAAAGTTCTGGGGAAGGGAAAGCTACCTAAGTAACCCGTGATGGTGAAGGCCAAATTCTTCAGCAGAAGAGCTCAGGAGATTAAGAGTATTGGAGGCACCTGTGTCCTGGTGGGTTGAAGCCACACAGAGAGGTTCATTAAATGCTAACTTTGTTTTCATGTGAGAAAATAAAAAATAATAAATACCTCCCTAATAAGAGGGCTATTCAGTTGCCACAAAATTCTCCTCAAATGTCTTTTAAGAATTTCAGGCCATGATTTTAAATGCTTAGCAGAACATCAAGGCATACAATGTTACACCCCAGTTGTGTTTCTTTCTTTTTTGGTCTTTTTGGGACAGAGTCTCCCTGTAGCCCCAGCTGGCCTGGAACTCACTTTGCAGACCAGGCTGGCCTTGAACTCAGAGATCCACCAGCCTCTGCTGGGATTAAAAGCATGTGCCTCCACACCTAGCCCAGTTGCTGTGTTTCTTAAAAAAAATACATTCTGTCTTTCATGGACAAGTCCGAAACTTCCACTTAGCTGAAAACAAAGAATAATCCTATCTTGGTCAGCAGTCTGAGTCCTGTGTGGCAGTCATTCAACTGTAATAATGTGCCCATGACTTTGGGTGTCTGGGTTCTGAGTGTCGTAGACATTCTTTCCTCATTTCCAGTCACCACGTCAGGGGAGCTGTCGTTTAGTACAAACCTTCAACTGGAACAGGGTATCTGCAAAGACAGAGGAAATAGCTTAAGAACTTTAAGAAATGTAGTAAGTGGAACTTCTAACAAGCAAATAGACTCAATTAAGATCCATGCAGATACTAGGCACTGGCACAGGACAGACATGGACAAGATTCATCTGGGGCCTTGAAGGTTGCTCAACAGTGAAGTCAAACAAGGGATCCATGTTAAGACACAGGGCTCCAAGCAACAATGAGCCCCCACTAAACCTGTTTCTTTGTCAGGATGGCACCAGTCAGCCTGTCATGGTTGGCGTGTGCTATCAATTTGACACACCTGGGAAAACTGTGCCTCAACTGGGCAACTGCCTCTATCAGATTGGCCTATGGGCATTGTCTGTGAGGCATTTTCTTGACTGTTGAGTGATGTGGGAGGGCCGAGACCACTGTGGGTGGCACCACCCCTGGGCAGGTGATCCTGGTATATAGGCAAGTAGGTTGATCACAGGCCAGAAGAGCAAGCCAGTAAACAGTGTTCCTTCATGGCCTGTGCTTCGGTTCTTGCCTTCGGGTTCCTGCCCTGACTTCCTTCAGTGACTGTGATCTGGGAGTTGTAAGCTGAAATAAACCCATTTCTCCCCAAGTTGCTTTTAGTTAGTGTTTTATCATAGCAACAGAAAGGAAACTAGGCCTCAACCTCAAAGTGTTACTGTGAGGATAGGGTAATGCATGCAGCTCTTAACCATGGTGAGAGTGGAGATGGTGATTTACAATGAATGCAACTTTACAAAAGGCACGTAGGATTCTTTCCTAACACTGTTCAAGACTTAACAGTCTGTTTTTCATATCTTCTATCATCCCAAAGACAAATGGATAAAAATGGCACAGGGAGATGTCTAGGCACCAAAGAAGCTACTCCATGACAGATGCTTTTTTTTTGTCTTTTTGAGACAGGGTCTCCCTGTATCCCCAGCTGGCCTGGAACTCGCTATGTAGACCAGGCTGGCCTCAAACTCAGATCTACCTGCCTCTGCCTTCCGAGTGCTGCGCCACCACACCCAGCTGACAGATGCCATTTCTAAGCCACTGCATCAGATGCAGTCCACTATCCCCAACCATACTCAGTAAGGAAGGGACATACGTATATTAAACAAACTCATTGCTAATCAAACCTGCCATTCATTCACAAAAACTTAAGAGCCGGATAGACTCAATTTCTTTTATGTATTTATTTAGATGTTCTGAGAACCTCAAACTCGCAATGCAGCCAACGATAATGATGTTTTGAACTCCCATCTCTACCTTTTGAGAGCTGGATTACAGGTTTGAGCCACCACATCCAGCTAATTTACCCCACTTATAAATCTGCAGAGATTGTGACTCTTGATTTCTGAAAAGGCTCACTTTACCTACCCAGAATGAACGTCCTGAGGGTCTGCAGAGGGAAAGCAAGACTGCCAGCTGAGACCTACTGTGGGCCAATCAACACTGTGCACCTGCCCATCTACTACCAACTCAGTGCAGGCACTAGTCATGGCCAGAGCCTCCAGACCTGACCATGACTCTGGGAAACAAAGGTCACATGACACAGTGCAAGAAGTGTTACTCAGGTGTGGCTTAGCCATCTCACTAGCTGTAGGACACTGGCCAAGTCTCTTCCATCTTAGTCTGTGTTTTCATCTAGAGTCCAGTGGGACTGGACTCTGAAAAACAAAAAGCTGAAGCAAACTGACATGAGCCTAAGAAAAGTTCCCTCACAAGAGCAGAGTGAACTGTGAGAGGGGGTTAAGAAATCTTTACTGTTGGGAGGCTGGGGTACTCCCTTGTCTTCAATCCAAGGCAAGAAGTACAGAATTCTAGTCTATTTCCTTCGTGACAAGGACATAGTTGTATAGCTTTCTACAATTCAAAAATTTTTTATTTTATTTTTAAATATTTTATTTTTATGTGTATGAGCGCTTTTTCTGCATCAGGTGAATGCAGTGCCAGCAGAGGTCAGAAGAGCATAGACTTCCCCATGGAACTGGAGTTAAGGGCATTGTGGGTCCTGGGAACCAAACCTGGGTCCTCTACAAGAGCATCCAGTGCTCTAACCACTGAGCTATCTCTCCAGTCCATGAGTTCTCTGGGTGTGCTCTGCGAGTTCTTTGGGAATCAGGAGTTCTTTGGGCGTCTAGAGTAAAGACCTGTGGCAGGTGGAGGCCAGTCAGATTACTAGGGGTGGTCCCTTCTCAACATGTTTACTTAAAGGTAAGACCAGAATGGGGCAAGCACCTCCTACCTCAAGGAGCTGCAGGGAGGGAACCCATTTCCCACAACTTGGTACTTGGAGCACTTTGTCTCTGAATCATTCCTATGTCTCTGGGTGGTGTTCAGGGTCAAAAGGGTGCAACTACCATCTTTCCTTCTGACCACATTCCAGGGTCCCCAAAGCAGGAACATATACCAACCAGAGAGAAGGTTTAGGGCAGGGGCTTAGATAGGGGTTATCTGGTCGAAACCTAGGGTATGGGTTCTGGACTAGGGGTCCATACCCAGGAAGATCTGGGTAAGGATCAAGACCCAGGGGTGGGTCCCGGCTGGGATGTGGGGTCGAGGCCCGCCATCGGATCCCCGCAGGGATGTGAGTTCCAGGCCCAGGGGGCGGGGTCCTGGTCAGGATCTGGGGTCCAAGCTGAGCCCCCGCCCAGCTCCCCTCCGAACCCCAAGCGGGTGTCGCCCACTTACCATCCATGGCCAGCGGGACAGCGCAGCCCTCGGGGCAACGGCAGAGAACAGATCCTAGGGACCAGCGGCGCCCGAGGAGACTTCCGGGGTCGACCGCGGCGCCCGGTCTCGCGGCTTGCTCTCGCGAGATCGGATGCCGTGGGGCCTGGGGGTGGGGCTTGGACAGCATCTGGCGGTTGCCGTGGTGATGAGCGCCTACCACTCTAGCCTTTGTGAGGCCCCCGTCCGGGGGGCAGCGGGATCACCTATGGGCCTGTCCAAAAGCAAACCCAGGAAGAGGAAAGGTAGAGGGCGCCGGCCGGACCCGCCCTCTAGGGCCTCCCCAGGGGTCTCCTGCCCAGAGCGGCCGCCGAACGGAAGGCGCCCGCCCGGCGTGGTACTGTTATGTCTGTTTATCTGTGTGTTTCAGGGGAGGAACACAACAAGAGCCCCGCCCATTCCGTTTCAAAGCCTAAAGAGAAGGTGATGGAGAAGGAGGCCAAGCCGCCTGACAGGGACGTCCCGAGTCAGCCTGCTGATAGCCTGCTGATGGGGGCAGAGACAGCCAAGTACTCTCAGCCTTCTGCTTCCTCGGAAGGTAGGAGACCCCAGGAGGCCTGCCACATCAAGGCATCCGGGATGGGGCAGAGTTCTAAGACCCTAATGATACAGGAGGTAAATATCCAGAATTCTTGGTGCAGTACTTAGTACAAAGTTCAACAAAGGCGGATAAGTTTGTTAGTTTGAGGCCAGTCTGGGCTATATAGGGAGTCCAAGGCCATCCTCTACATATGGAGACCCCCGTCTCAGAAAAACAAAATAACAAAAACAAAAGCTTTTTTAAAAAATATTATTTTTATTTTATGTGTATGAGTGTATTGCTTGCATATGTGTGAGTGCACCTGTGTCGTGCAATGCCTGCAGAGGTCAGAAGAAGGTGTCAGATCCCCTGGACCTGGAGTTAAGACGGTTGTTAGCTGCCATGTGGGTGGTGGCACTCGAATCCTGGTCTTGGTTAAGATCAGTCAGTGCTCTTAACGGCTGAGCCAACTCTCTAGCCCCACACCCCTTTTAAAAAGAGGAACTTGTTGAGTAATCATATGGTGTCACCTGGGGGGGCTTTGTGACTTCTGATGCTACTGTGACTTCTGATGCTACTGTGGGTCCTTCAACATGTCACATCTTAGAGCAGAACCTTGGGTGACTGCACATGATAGAATGAGGAAGGCTTGGGCTCACTCAACCTGTACCAAGGTGGGAAGGCTGCCAAGGAGGAGCATATCATGGATGGGACAAAAGACTGCAATCGTTTGGCATACTTTATAGCAGTACAATGTGGCCACACCATTGGCGTAGGGTGGGAGGAGATAAAACCACAAAGGCAGGAAGAGCCTAAATACAGTCTTCCACCATTTAATCACCCATATTGTTGGAGATAGTTAAGTATTCAAAACAAGGAAAGTATTAGGGGGTCTGTGCCTTGGAAAGGTCTTTCTGGCTCCAGAATAGAGGACAACAGGAGAAGCAAAGAGCCCTAGGGAAACCTACCCCAAGCTCATTGCTCATGCAGGAACCAGAGAAGCAGCAACAGGAATCCCAGAAGGACTGGAGGTAAGAAGAGTCGAACCTGCTATCTGATGACATGTAGGGGAAGGCAGAGCAGGATAATGGGTCGGATGAGAAAGAAGAGTGGCCTGGAAGGGCACCAGAACTATGCTGAGTGGTTCAGGTTGAGACACCTGTGAAACCTTCAAAGGCTACAAGAGGAGGTAGTTCAAAATTCAGGTGCTGGGCTTAGGAAAGAGGTCTGACCTCAAAACTTAAAAAAACCCTCATTTGAGGGTAGAGGGTAATTGGAAGGGCTGGAGGCATAGAGTAGAAGTTTGGTAAGTGCTACCAGTCTCTCAGATGCTTTTAGCTAATTATAAAGAAGCCAGCTAACTTTATCATCAAGTGGTGTGTTATCTCACAAAAGAAGGGTCAGAGATGGCATCCACCATGTTTGTTCAACAGTATGGCAATGACATCAAGGACTCTGCGTGTTCCATTGTTTCTTCAGTGTCAAGAATGTCTTCCTCCACAGTGCTAAGGTAGCTGGACTGCAGGTATCATAGGCACACAGAACTTTACTGACCCTTAGAGATTTTTGTCCTTACTTGCTATTATCAAGGAAATCTTTTCAAGGAAGACTTCACCTGTCCAGCCTTTCTAAGATGGGCTCAGCTCTACAGATTCATGCCTTGGGGGTATCAGAGTGGGCAGACCTTTGCCAGCAAGGAACTACCCATTGGAAAGCCACCAGCAACATCTGTCACACAACATCAATTTGGAGTAAAAGAAAGTGGACGTGAGAAAACCAAGTGAGGGTGGTGTCAAGAAAAGATGATGGAGCTTGCTCAGCAGTAACAAGAAACCAGTGACATCCTGCATTGTAGGAACCCCCAAAATAAGATGCCAAGCAAGAGAAGTCAAGTGTAAATGTCCACATACATTACGACTCCCTTTCTATAAAATGCCTTGAACTCACAGTATTCCTCTTGCTTCAGCTCCCTAAGTACTGAAATTACAGGCATGAGCCATCATCCCCACTTAGAGAATATTTGTAAACTGGGCATGGTGGCTCACACCTTTAATCTCAGCACCCAGAAGGCAGATCCCTGTGAGTTCCAGGACAGCTGGGATTCAGGAAGACCTTGTCTCAAAAAAACAAGAAAAAAAAAAGACAGAAATATTTGTAAAGCTGTATCAGGTGTTGTGCTTTTGTAGCGCCAACTACTCAGGAGACTGAGGCAGGAGGATCATATGAGCCCAGCCTGGGCAATGTAGTGGGCCCCAGCGGGCTCCTGAATTTTAAAAGGGGAGTTTTAGGGATATAGCTCAGTTAATAGACTGCCTACCATGCACAAAGCACAAAGCCCTGGGTTTCATTGGCTGTACCACATAAAACCAGGTGTGGTGGCACATGCCTGCAGTCCTGATGCTTGAGGCAGGAGGAGCATGAATTCAAGGGAAACTGGCTACAAAGAGAGTTCAAGGCCATTCAGGACTACATAATACCCTGTCTCACAACAAAACAGATCAATACTTGCCTAGCTCTCTGGCTACAAGGCTCTGAGGAGGCACCATAGTTAGCTACCCTGGTGCCTATGCCCTTCTGGCCCTGGGCTCGACCTGTGAGTGAACACATCTTTAGGTGATTTCAGAGTCTAGCCTTTGAGTCTTCACAGCCTGCTACAGCCAGCAGCACTTACCACACCACTGTAGACATGCTTCCCAGCTAAGTCTTCAAATGACATAGCCCTGAAAATATATAACTATTTGTGAGGCCCCAAGTGGAAACTGTAACCAAACCTGTCCCGAGTTTCTGACTCAAAATATAGTGAGAAAATAGTTGTTTTAAGCTGGTAAGGGTTGGAGTTTGTTGTTATATATCAGTAGTACCCAGATCAAGGGGTAAGTGGTAGGGTAGGGAGGAAGGTTGGCCATGAGTTATGAGCACTCCTGTAGTCCTAGGCCCAAGCAGGCGAATCTTGTTCAAACCAACTTGAGCTACATACTAAGACCTCAAAAAAAAGAAAAGAAAAGAAAAAGGAGGGTTGGAGAGAAGGCTCAGGGTTAAGAGCTCTGACTGCTTTTGTAGAGGACCTGGGTTTGGTCCTAGCACCCACATGGTAGCTAACAACCATCTGTAACTCCAGTTCCAGGGACTCTTCTTCTAACCTCTGTGGGCATTGTACAACACAGGTGCTCTTACACACATGCAGACAATGCACTCACACACATAAAATAAATATAATAGGGCTGGAGAGATGGCTCAGCGGTTAAGAGCACTGATTGCTCTTGCAGAAGACCAGGGTTCAATTCCTAGCACCCACATGGCGGCTACAAACCATCCTTAACTCCAGTTCCGGGGGAATCCGAAGCCCTCTTCTGACCTCCGTAGCATTGCATGACA